CTAGCAGAGCTCTGTTGAATCTTTCTGAAGTGCAAGTGGTTGCCATTATGCTTGTGCAAATGCTTGAGAAAGGAAATGCTGCATAAAAGGTTTTACCTCATGTTGTCCACATGCATAATGCACAATTGTGCATGTGGAAATGTAACTTTAGTTGGATTATTCTCTTGCATATAGTTCAGGACCTAGTTTCTGCCAGTGCTATGTCATTTGCGCTAACAATATGACACAGTTGGATGCTTCCCCAGGACTGAAATATTCAAAATTAATCTGTGCAATCTGTTCTCAAATACAACTGAAAAGCAAATGACTCAAATCAGAGCAGCCTCCCAGGGAGCAAAGAGTTGCAGTCTTCTGATATAGACTCAGGGACTTTAGTAAATATGTCTCTAAAGCACAGCTTAGTAGTGATATCAATCACAAACAGGATACAAATATCAAAACAGACTTCCAGTTTGGAATAACCAAGGCAATATCTCAAAAATTTCTATTTTCCAGAAGAATGGCATGAACTCAGCAGGGCTCAGTTTCAGATCCCAAGTTCAGTGCTCTGTTTCCTTCTTGGAATATATACAAACATATCTGAATTTGTTTTTCACCACTGAGTCAACACCTCAAGACAGGTTATAAATCAAATAAATAAATAAGAAACACAGCCAGGATCCTAGACAAAGGGTTTTCTTTCTAGATAGTGGCTCTGGTATGGCTCCAGTCTGGCTTTCGAAACTGAAACACTGGCCAAAATGCAGTGGGGGGGGGGGAATTACGCTGCCCTGAGACTGGAATTTCTCCCTGTTTCTAAATCACAATCTATCATGCCGAGGCAAACGACCTGATACTGACTGCTTCCTGCAAAAGCTAATGCCATTTCAGTCCAGTTTGATTCCCCTAAGGAGTCATGTATTTAACAACCTGGCATAGGTAAAATCAGACTGCAGTGTGGCTGAAGCATATGCCTAAACTGCTTTAAACGCTTTGCTAACTGTGGAAATTGATATGGAATATGTGGGTCTTCGCTGATGCATGGGACCCATAAAGCATCATAGAACTTTTTTCTTTCTATTTAAATATGAAAAGGACTGTGCCCTCAGAGAATCTGAATGACAAATCATTTCTAGAACACACGTGAGGTATCCAAGTGCTCAGTCTTACAAGAACCCTAGGAAGTAGCATTAGTATTTTCACTGAGAGTGCTCTGACTCTCAGCAGCAGAACTCAAGCAATTGTGTATCCAGCCAACATTTTCAGCAAAGGGGCTGAATTTCATTATTAAAAAACTCTTGGGTATCCTTACTCTGATTGTGGATGGGGCTGATGGCAAAAGGGGCAGACCAAGACCGAAGAGACAGGAGCAAAATTATCCACAGATTTTAGCCTGAAGTTCTTGCTGTTAGGAAAAACTGTTGCATGGTTTCTATACATGCACAGATTCCCAAATGAAACAAGACATATGGAGGGGGACAAATTTCATGGTTTCCCCTAGTGTTGTGGATCTGATCCTGATCCGTTTGTCAACAGCTGCCATTTGCCCAAACGTGAAGAAGCACAAGATTCACTGTGGACTCACTGCCAATTTATCTACTTTGAGAAGCTGCTACCAGTCTAAGTAGACAGTAGATGGAGCAACAGTCTGACTCAGAGTGAGGCAACACTAGAATCCAGGTTCCTATGTTCCAAGTCTAGTAGCATAAAATGAACTGCACTTAATGTCAAGGGGCAGTAAGCAGCGCATTTTATCCCTACTTAAAAACTACAAAAACAAGTCAACCATAATAATGTAATAGGATAGGGAGAAAAAAGAAACTAGTCTTACATGGAAATTCACAGGACTCCTTTAGTTCACATTGCAGTTTACAGTTCTTTTTTAGTGTTCAGTCACTGGTGGGAGTCTAGCTATTATAAAAGAAACAGGAAAACTATTCATAAGCCAGCCAGGGGAAAATGAGTTCCATAACTTTTCCTAAGCCTATTATGTTTTGTTTTCTATATATTACACTCCAGATATTAGCATCAGACTTTGCATCTTTGGAAGAAACAAATAAATCTTAGGAGTATGTAGAGGCATAGCAGTGCCTGACAGAGGCATTAGTTGTCTCATTCTGTTTGAGGGTTATTTACAATACTTTACCCTATTTCACCCTATTATATACTCAGCATGATGAAGTGCCACTTGCTTAAAGCCTTGAAACTGAAGCACTGCTGTGCAAGGAAAAAGAACTCAGCAGTACCCTCTGTACAACACCCACATGCCAGATGAGACTTTTCAATCCATTGCTCTGTGGGGTGTTTTTTTCCCCTGACATCCCCCATGATTACGCCAGAGTTTTGTTTTACCCTCCATTGCTTTCAGAATTCCCAATTTAACTTTGGCAGATTCTAATATGCTTATAAAATGGTAAAGAAACATGTATTATAATGGGATTTAAAGTCTCTCACAGTAGGTTCCATGCTGTATAATTAGCACCTGCAACAAGATGGGCTTTCCAAACCATTCGGTCAGAAAATTCGAGTTACAGAACAAGATAAAGCTTTTGACCTCACATTACTCTCTCCTGGCTTTCTTTAGAAAAGCAGATAAAGTCCAGCCTGGGGATTCTCCACCCCAACAATTTCCAAGTAGCCTGGGGCATCTATATATAACAAGACCTTCAAGGCATTGTCAGGTCTATTTGTAATGTAAAACATTAGCTTAGCCAGCCTAGTGAAGTGTCTCAAGAAATAGAAATAGATTTGACAGAGAAACAATCTCAGATCTAACACACATCCATTCATTTTTGTCAAGAGAATGGGAATATGGCATTTTCAAAAAATGTTTGATACAACTACATTGTCTGACATAATATTAAAAAATAACCGTTTGGCTTTCACTGAAGTAGGCAAAGACAGACAATTAAAATCCAAAACATTGTGTCTCTCTTTGCTTTCTTCTTTTTTTTTTTTTTTTTTTGAAAAACAGCTTCAGATTCTTGGGTTTTTTAATCTGTATAGAAGGCGGCACCTCTGGTAACACAGAGCCCTCTATTGTTATATTATGGTATTGCTAGTAAGAGGAGAAAGGGGAAGTATTTACATCATATTAGGAATACAATAATACTCACAATAATGTCCTTAAGCCAAGAGGATTTAGTGCTCAAGCTTGTTGTGTTTACTGAATAAGCAATTCCAGCTCATCTATGTCGGCTAGCAGAATACAATGGATTTGCTTGACCAATTAGGCCTTGGGCTGCAATTCTATGCACAGTCCCAGGAACATCAGTATTCAAAGCAAATTGGAATGTTAAGGCATTCGCCCCCAACCTCTTTTTTGGTAAATAAGGCCAAGGAAGTTGTGGATCAAGCAGAAGAGTCTTCTGAGATGTCATGTTCAAAACACTATTCACCTTTCAATCAGTATTGCAAATAAGCGAGGCTTTACCTAGATGAGACTTTACCTACAAAAGGTAACACTTTGAGGCCACACTGCCATATGCATCGATACAACATAGAGTTGCTTGCACTGCAGGTCTGGAAGCTGCTTGCTGGTGATTAACAGGCAAGTGGGCAACTGAAAGGCTCTCTTATAATCAGCACAACAAAAGAACCACTGGTTGCTAGATTTGCTTTTCTCCAATAAGTAGGTTTTATTAAGCTGTTCAATTGAGGCAGAAAGGGAGAGAAATCCTTAATGAAGTACATGCTTGTTTATTTCCAGCAAATCTATTCCACCCCTCTATGATATGCCCTATTTTCCTAACCTCCTGTTTTACTCAACAAGTCAAATCATATAATTGCCATGCTAATGATATTCATGGCATCTTTTCACTGCCTTGTATTCATTCCCTCTTAAACACGAACAAGGACAACGCTCCTGTTGTACCATCTCTCATGCAGAAAATTCCCAATATGCTTTACAGAACTATATACACAGTTTCACTTTATCCACTGGCAGTCACTTCTGGGATATGAACAACAGCTGCTTAAAAACACATACAAGCAACACTACAAATCATTTGATGGCAGCAGCAAAGTATATTATACCAAGAGAGCACTCATCTAGTTCAGAGTTGGAATTCAAGCAAATTTCTACCTCTACAGTTGCAAAAACATTCCCCCAGGGTAACTGTATTCATTATTTTTCTTTAAAGATACTAAGCCTGTAATCATATACACATCTACCTGGGAAAAAAAACTACATTGAAGTCAGTGGAGCTTACTTCTGAGTAGATGTGTATAGGATTGTAGTATGGAGTCTTGTATCACTTGGACTATCAATATTTTACTGCAGCACAAGCTTTTTGAGGAGTAGAGTTCACAAACCTTATGCCAACATAAATCTGTCAAGTCTTTACAGACCTCCAAGATTTTTTGTCATTTTTTCTTACAAAACATACACCTATAAAGAAAAAGCAATGACATGAGCAGGACATCATTTTTCAGCAGCCTCATGTCTTTGGTGATCTACTGCTCTGTGCTTGCCTTCATAGCTTAAATGCATCCTACACGATAAAAGCCCTGCTGACTACATGTGGTATCTCAAAGCCAGATTCACAGATAGAATTCTTTCTAAGGCAAAACGGAAAAATGAGATGTTCCCTTGAACACCCCAGCTGAGTTTTCCACAATCTGCTACCTTTCAGATGTTTTGGACTACACCCCTCATCATCTCAGTCCATTAGACATGCTCACTGGGGTTGTATTCCTGGACATCTGGAGGTTGTAAGGTTGGGAAAGGATGCCTTACCTCACACCCTTCTCCAGCAGGGCTCAGAAATCACTGCATAAGATACAAGTTATAATATAATTAAGACAGTTATGGCTGAAAAGTTCACTTTCTTAAGTAGTTTTTCCATTCCTTCCTTCTTTCCTTCCTATCTTATCATGAGCAGCAGCAGCACAGTATAACATACCAGTCAGAATCCTTCAGAAAATGAAATGACTATGATAAAAGCCAGCCTTGTTATAAGAAAGCACTGAACAAGAAACTTGCAAGAAAATACTGTTGACAGAGATAAGCAGCATCTTACCCAGCAGCAGAAGAGATGTCAGCTCCAGCAAAAGGCACCTCATCTTTGTAGAAGACAGAAGATTAAAGGGCATCACTCTCTTCCCCACTTTTCCTTTTGCTTATTCTTTTATCTTCAGTTGTCAAACACCAGCTGGTTTTATATTTCCAGAAAATAGTATTTTGGTAAAGTGGAAATTCAACAGGAAGGGGGGCTGGGAACCAAACCAAAAAGGGGGTAAAAGAAGTGAAGGGCAGGCTTAGTGGGAGGCATGAAAGTGCCCTCAGATGCTAAATGATTACTCCAAACAGACACGATTGCCTTTCCAAAGACTGACACATTGTGCTTTGCTGCATCTACTTTGATTTCTCCCACTCTTACAGCACAGTTGGCATGGACTGTCCCTTGCTTGATCAGCCCTCCTGGAAAGCAGAAAGGTGCAGAAAAATCTGTTCACCTACTTGATCTGCTCAGACAGAAGCATCTCCTGATCTTTAAAAAAAAATCTTATGCATGTGTCCAGTGCTTCACAATCTGAACAATGAAAAAAAATGAAGTGTGCTTAAAAGTGCAGAAAAGGTCAAAACTTGCGCATAGAAATCAGCTTGGCATGAGTCTGTTAGTTAGCCTGGATGAAAGGCAACGTGGGGGGGTGGCTCCACATCGGTCCTGCTTTGTAGCGGTGGGCAAGGCAGGTTCTCTGCTTGCTTCTCTACACAGCTGGGGCAAATCAGCAACCCCAGCAGGGATGGTCCTTCAGTAGCCGGTTTTGCTCGGTTTGAATTTCTTGCAAAGGTGCTTACAATCCACGTTTATTTCGTCCTAGAAAAAGAAAAACGCAAACTTATAAAAGGAAGGAGCAGGGAATGGAATTGTTGCTGTTGAACTTCTCTCTCTCTCTCTCTCTCTCTCTCTCTCTCTCTCTCTCTCTCTCTCTTTCACGCACACCCCGTGGGAGACCGCCAAGCGTTAAATGCGGGCGGCTGTTGGGGGAACGGGTCGGGAAAGCCAGCTCGACCAGCCATGTCCCTTCGAAGAGCCCTATCTACGCAGAGGCAGGAGACCAGCCCGCTATTGTTTCAGCCTTTCTCGTACGAGAGAGAAAGAGAGAGAGAGCGAGAGAGAGAGAGAGAAGGCGCGCGAGAGCAGCCCCCTCCCCCTCTTTCCTTTCCTTTCAATTTTTCAAACTGGAGAAAAAAGCTTGAACCGGGCGCCCTCTGGAAGAAGGGAGCTTAGCGAAAGCTGAGCAGGAATTTCTGGAGCCCGAAACGGTCGCGCTAAACTGCCCAAGCTTACCGCCCGTCCCGCCGCCCCCCGGGTGTGTTGCAAGCCAGGTATGCCCCACTAGAGGCGCCCCACAATGCGAATGCCCGGCAGCGCAACAGTGCGCGAGCGCCTCGACCGCGGATCGCTTGCCTGCCCCGTCCCAGGCACTCCCTTGCCAGGCTCGGTGTCGCCGCTCCACGTGTCCCGCTCTCACCTTTCGTCCCTCGCACCGGCAGCCCAGACTCCTGTAGGGCTGGCCCCGCAGCAGAGTGCGCGGCGCTACCTCAACCTACCTGGCCGCTGTTGCGGCTGCCTCTCTCCACCCCGGTTCCGCCGCCGCCTCTTCGGCGTCTCCACTCGCGCTTCATTCTCCGTTCAGAGCTGCTGCAGGGGGTGCCGAGCGTTTCCTCCCAGCCAGATAGCTCCGCCTTCTTCCCCCTCAGTCCCTCCTCGTCCTGCGCCCTCTCCTTCCCTTAGCCAGCCAGTGCCTGTCTCTTTATCTCTCTCCGGTTGCGTCCCGCCCCGCTCCTTTCTCTTTCCTCCTTTCCTCCACCAGAGACAGGCACTGAGGGCTGGCGAAAAGCTGACCTTTTACGGGAAGAAAGCAACCGGCGGTGTTCCCTTTACCGTGGGCTTGACGCAAAAGAATCGTTGGGATTTAGCCGATGAACCTGGAGCGGGCTCATGTTTCAGTCCAGGCAGCCGCGATCCGTTTTTTCTAGCTGGCAGCGAGGAGTCGCAAAGCTGAGTGCTAGGGAAGGATAAGGCTCCGGTACGAACTACCTTTCAATCATTAACCGTTGCTATAAGAGCAATCACTGCATGTTTACCAAATCAGGATTTGTCTTCTTGCTTTTTCGACTTTTTGGGAGGATGCTGCTGCTTAGCAGTTTGTCACAGTAGGACAAATTTGAAGACCTAAACGTGGTGACGCTTTCAAAAGAAAGCAGAATGTCCTGGTGTTGGGTTAAAGACCTGAGTCCTGAAGTCCTTTAAAGTGCGGTACTGAAACAAGTGATGCCAAAAGACAGCAAAGTTGTTATTACATTGCATTTATATCCTGCCTTTTTTCTTTTTGTGTGGAACCTAAGGCAGCTTCAGTAGTTCCATTTTATCTTCACTACAACAACCCTTTGAGGAAGGTTAAGCTATGAGTGAGTGAGTGGCCCAAAGTCATTCACTGAGCTTCATGGCTGAGTGGGGACTAGAACCTACTCCAGCATCTATTTATTTCATATAATTATATCGCCTCCTTTTTCTTACCAGGAAGCCTGTGCAATTTACATACTCCTCATAACAGTCCTGGGAAGCAGGCAGGGCTGAGAATTAATGACTAACCCTAAGTCATTAATAGCTGGGTAGGGAATAGAAGTATGTGCTGAGTCCAAATCCAACACTACTTCCACAGGTCAGACAACAGAGATATGACTGAATTGCTTAATTCTGGCATTGCCCCCAGTGGGAACTGGTTACGGCCATTGCATATAAAATCTGACAGAAGCTTCCACCCACTCAGTTATGCAATATTGATAAAAATCTAAAGGTTTCCATAGTTGCTTTTAAGCACAGGTGTGAAATTATAAAAACCAACCAGGACAACAAAAGCAGAAACTGGAACTTGAATAGTAGAGCAAATTCCATTCTTTGATTTTTGTTTTAACAGCATTCAGGTATATCCTGTTGCTTGTGTGGACTGCTGCTATGCTGTAAAGAACATAGGTGATTCTGCACATTACATAGGAAAAACAAGCTGCAGCAGGATCTGGCACAGGGCAAAAGCCTGGTGACCTGTTTCTACCTGCAGGATGAGCTGTGCCAACAAAGTGAAAATGGGTGCTTCTGAGTAGCAAAGATGAATAACTGCTGTAATCCAGTGTGCTTACTCAGCAGTTTTGTAACTGAAGATCTTTTGAGTCATTTCTAGTCATGATGCTATAACAAAGAATTTATAAGTTGTAGCTTGTGTGGGATGGATTAAACAGTAAGCTTGCTGCTGGTGATGCAAATAAAACAGGCTTTTCCTTGACCTTGCAGATAGGAAAGTAGATGTAAGTTGAGAAAGTTCTGACCTGATCTAAATGTTCCATGGACTGGTTAAGTAGGGATGAGGCCATAGGCCAGGCATGGGAGGCCTGGATTAGGTACAGTTGCAAGAAGTTGGATCCCATCTATGTATTTCCATGAGATACCTGTCCCTAGTTAGATGTTTGGTGCCATGCCCCTGGGCAGAGGCAGATATCCTTGGCATACACCGATTGTCCTAACCCATTTCATTATGAATGTTGAGACAAAATTTTCCTTGGCTGCTCTGATCATTGCTTTCTTGAAGGGAAAAGACAGAGGATTGTGATTCTCTTGATCTTGCTAGATCACTCATCCCATTTTTGCATACCATTTTTGCATGCCATTGACCATTATATTCTTGTGGAGCATCTCTGTAAGGCTCTGTTCTACTGTGCAGCCAGTGTGGGTCAATAATTTTATCTATGTTATATTTTGTTGTATTTTATCTATGTGAGCCGTCCTGAGGCTTTCACGACAGGACGGCATATAAATACTTTAAATAAATAAATAAATACGGTGTTTCTGTCCTACTCATGGTGATGGTTCCCGAAAGTACCTTTGGGTGACTGTGCTGTGGATCTCTGGCAATTATGCTTTGGGAAGTTGCAAGGTACCATTTTATCTCCAGTGCCATTTAACATCTATATGAAGCCACTGGAAGCAGTCATTAGGAAATTTGGGATAAAGTGTCACCTATATGCTGATTATACCTGCCTCTAGTTCATTTGAATCAGGAGAGCCCATGCATGTTCTAAACCAGTGTCTGGGCACAGGGGTGGATTGGATAAGGGCTGGTAAACTGAGACTAACTCCTGACAGTGGGTGAGTGTTCCTGGGTTTGGGAATTGGAGAATTTGACTATTCTAGATGGGATTACATGTCTTCAGAAAGAGCAGGTATTTATTTTGGGAGTGCTCCTAGATTCATTATTGTTCTTAGGGAAGCAAGTGACCCTTCGCATTTTGGTTGGTATGTCATTTGTGCACTTTTCTGGAGAGGGATGGCCTAGTCATTGTAGTGCCTGCACTGATGGTATCATATTTAGATTACTATATCACACTCTGTATGAGATATAGTTATACTTGGTCCATAAGCTGCAAGTGTTGCAGAATGCGGTAGCTAGGATGCTGAGCAGGGTACCAGCTTTGCACATATTGCAGTGGTATTGAAGCAGCTGCACTGGCTGCATATTAGCTATTGAACAGAGTCTGAGGTCTTACTGTTGACATATGAGGAATCCCTGAAAAGCTTGGGATCAGGTTACCTAGCAGACCACCAATCTAGACTCCAATATATACTTGTGAGCTTACCAAACTAATTGTAGGGTGGCCTTGCTAGTTGCACCACAACCAGTAGATTGCCATCTTGTTGAAACTCAGAAGCAGGTCTGCTCTTTGCTCTTCCCCTTTGCTCTCCACCCCAGTATTGGGAGGTGCCAGGTGTGGCATTCCTTAGGCTCCTCCATATACCCATTTCTTTACCTAGACCTTCCTTGATTAATGGTGCTGCCCAATTTGTCTGTTAATTACATTTTGAGTGCTTGGTTTTAATGTTTTATAGTGGTTTGTAAATTATTAATAAGACTATTTCTGTAATTATGATGATGTATTTAATTGTTCTTTGGAAAAATAGTTTGCTTTTATGTGTTGTCATCTTCAACTTATGGCAAACCTATGAATGAAAGCCATCCGGAATGTCCTATCCATGACAGACCGGCTCAGCTCTTCTAAATTCAAGCCTGTGGCTTGTGGCTTCCTTTATGGAATCACTCCATCTCTTGCTTGGTCTTCTTTTTCTTCTTCTGCCTTCAACATTCCCTAGCATGGTTCTCTTCTCCAGGGAGTTTCAGTTTTTTCATTTTTGCTTTTAGGAAAAGCTGGCTTGATTTGATCTAGGACCCACTCGTTCATCTTTTTGTGAGAATTCACAAAGCTCTCCTGCAACACCATGCTTCAAATGCATAAATTTTCTTCCTGTCAGCTTTCACCATTGTCCATCTTTTCTACCCATACGTAATGACCAGGAGTACAGTAGTGTGGATGATCTTGGCTTGGGTCTCCAGTAGAACAAACTTATACTCCATCTTTTCTAGTTCTTTTATTGCTGTCCTTCCAAATTTAAGTGGCTATACTCTCATTTGAATTGATGGCTGAGCTAGGTAAAATCTTCCACAATTTCATTTTGTTCATTATTAACCTTAATGTTGGGTAATATTTCAATGTTTTCTTAATAGTGAGCTGTACTCTTGCTTTTGAACTTCCTTCTTTTACTTTCACCAGGAGTCATTTCAAGTCATTGCTGATTACTGCTGGTAGTACAGTATCATCTGCATGTCTTAAATTATTAATGTGTCTTCTGCCAATTTTTACTCCTGCCTCTGATTCCAATCCAGCTTTCCTTATGATATTTTCCGTGTACAGATTGAACAGCCAGGGAGCTAAAATATGCCCTTCTCTGACATCTTAGTCTATGGGAAATCATTATGTTTCTCTATATTTTGTCCTAACAGTAGATTCTTGCCCATGATTCAGGATAAACATCAAGACAATCAAATGTTGAATCATACCCAATTCTTTCAGGACTATCCAAAGCTTTTTAGCCAAACAGTCAAAGACTTTGCTGTAGTCTATAAAGCACAGACTGATCTTCTGAAATTGTTGGTGTGTTTTAGTAGCCAACATGTATTTGCTGTGTCTCTTCCTTTTTGAAAACCAGCATATGCAGTTTTTCTAAGAATACTTTTATTCAGCATCTTTGCATTTGAATCTTCTAATCTTTTGGAATTGACATTGACTTCAACCCCAACCAAGGATAAGAAAGATTTAGAGAAGTTTTTAAGAAGCCTTTTAAGGGAAAGCTTGCAGCTTGAATCCAAGAGCACAAAAAGCCTCTCCTGTTCTAAGGTCTAAGGGTATCACACTTGATTTGGTAAATACCATGACTGCTAGGGAGAATTCTGCAAGCTCCAAGGGTTTCTTTTTTATTTACTTCTTAATCTATCCTTCATCACCTGTAAAGGAATTTCTTCCTGCCTTAACCATCTAAACTCTCATTTGCATGTTTTTCCCAATCCAGGTTGTATATGTAAGTAAGTACCAGCATAATAAACCAAAATACACATTATATGCAGATATGCATAGGAATAGCCCAACATCCTTTTTTAATAGGAAAAGCCAGTTGAGTAGGAGGTGATTGAAATTGGAAAAGCACTACAGCGAATACTAATGTACTGGTCTCAGTCTACCATTCCCATGCTTGAATTACTCTTTCAAGCTAGTTCTCTGGAGGACGGGAGAGAAGACCTGCTTGGGGGTAAGATTTCTCAACAGAGAAGTGTTGATTTAGGAAAGGCTTATACATCTTATATTTCATTTTGTTTCCAATCATTCCTCTATCAAAGTTTGTTTTCCAGTTAAAATGGGCCTTTGAAGTGTTGTAACATACTTTTGCATGAGAAGCATACATGGATCCTAAAGCATGGAGGAAAACCTGTGGTTGATTCTCAACAGTGAGGTAGCCTTCGCCCAGTTGTTCCTGATAGTGGTGGCAGGGGATCACATGAATTAAGAGTGCAAGCTAAGGATTAATTTCATTTTTATAATGCAGTTACAAATTGCAACAGGATCCAGAACTAATTAACTGTTCTAGATGCATTAGCGAGCTTGGGTACAAATGGAGGTCATAACAAGGGGGAGAAGGAATGATTCCAAGTAACTTGGTTGGAAGTTTCTGTTTGGCAAACAAAAATTAGAATGTTCACTAAGAAGGTATGAAAATTTCAATCACAAAACATGTAAATATGTCCCATTTGAAAATATTCAGAAATATTATTGAAAATATTCAGGAATTGTCAAATACATGCTTGCATTCAAATCATTCATAATTTCCAGTTCTATGCAAATTTGTTCTAGAAATGGAACAGAAATGGAACTCAGCCCCACTTTTGTCTATGGAGGAAATCTGAGCAGATTAGGAAATTTGTGCAGATTTGGGAAGATCTACCCAAATCTCCAATTGGATTGTCCTTGATTTCCTCAAATGACCCATTCATGAGAAGCAGTAGCAATCATGAATGGAAATCAGACATGATACGATTAAGGAGATAATGTTTGCAGAATCCTAGCAATCTTAGATGTTGCTCATTTGCTGAGCCCCAGTGTTCACTATGCTTTGAAATCATGATGACTGCATTCTGTTAGAAGTCTGGCCTGGTTTGTTATGCTCTGATTATACGTATGACTATCAGTATATGACATATTAACATCTAACAAGCCCTTCACTTTCTGGATTCAGTTCTGCTTTATTTAGATACTTAGGCTTTTCACAGTTGCAAATAGGGCAGTCTTGGAACCAGAGAAAAGAAGGGGCTCACAATTTTTGGGCAGAGATATATAACTGACCATAGGCTTCCATATCTTTAATTCTGTACAGACTTTTCTGTCCTCATAGACCATCATGTAAATTGCTAGATAGACTATCAAGCTAGTGAAAGAACAAAGGATCCAGTTCATGTATAATGGTGGCAAATTGTTGGTTAAGTAGCATGCACCATGACAAATCATGAGTTAGGCACATGACACAGCCATTTTGGATATTCACCTCCCAGTCAGCCCAGCTGGAAAGAGTAAGACTGTGGATTCCTCCAGACACATGCTGGAGCACAGTGTGTCAATTATTTTATCATTTGCCACTGCTAAATGTGATCAGCACCAAATAGACTTTTGTGTCAATATTCAAGAAAAACAAGTAACAAAGTCAAAAAGAAACAAGCCTGTGGTGGTTTGTATATAATTCATGTAGCATGCTCCATACCATTTTAAATTAGCATTTGATATTTTTAGTAGGGAGTAACCATAGGAATATATATTATAAAATCTTTATAAATAGCAGAAAATTAGCAAGTGCTGCTTAATACAGTTGAAGGCTCACATAGTTTTCACATTTTTCATTCTTCTTTCAGAATGTTGCATTAATGCATAATAACAATCATGTACATAATGCAACCATGGAAATGACTTTATAGTATTATAATATTAATCCCATTTCAGTTAAATTAGATTAGTATAATAAGCACAGTTTGCTAAAGACTGTTAATAGGCACCTGTGTGCTCTGTCTGGATCTACCTAATTTTTATGCCTGCTCTCTTCACTGACCTCAGTAATAACATAAAAAAGCTTAGCTCTCATTACTCCTCATTTTACCTTTAGATCTTTTCAAAAGTATTTACTGATTTTCAGAAGGGGTTTTCAAAGATAAGTAATCCCCATTGCTTAGACCAGGGAAATGAGGTAAGGCACTTTCTCTGACCTCCTTACAGCCATTCCATAATGGGGTTGTGCTAGAATCTAAAGAATGCCCTCTTTCTGCTTGCCACCCCCTCTTTCTAATCACCTCTTAATGGAACATACAAAATCCTATGCTTCTATCAGTTTTTGCATTATACCACACATACCAAATGACTATGGTTGTCAAACAAGCCCATGGCTTTTTGTATTCAGTCTTTTAATAAATCCAGTTTCTGAGGCAATTGAAAGATGTTCAGATCTTCTACACACTAAATTGTCAGATAGCAACAGGCAACTTTGTACATACAGACCAAAATCCCAGTACAACTCCTACCAACACATTTTCATATAACACTGTAGTGGGAACCAGGATCTTGGTGTTAGTGAAAATGGGATCCTACAAGGTGCTTGCACTTGTCCAAGCACTTTGTCAACATCCTCAAGCTCTACCACCTGAAACTCATCCAAAAAGACAAGGCTGTGCCATGGATAATTCAGATGGGCCTAAAATGTCCTTGTGTGAATCTGTAATAGGCACTGGATGACCCTAAAAAGCTCTGTGTGTAAGAGAGAGGCAGGGCCATATTGTTTCTTTGCTGCCCTCACTGTCCCTAAATACTGTATATCTCACTACAGGCACATATAAGGGCTTTGCTGGATCTACTAGAAGTTTTTCTCCCTTTGTACTGTACTGTTCTCTCAGCTTCACGATATATGAAAGAGCCAGATTAACTATACTATGCAGAGGGTGCCCAGGTGTGATTGTGTTGACCAAATGTCATTTCTCTGTTACAAAGCCTGACTGGGATTCAATAAGACCCCCTGCCTTATCAGCAGAAAGCCCCTAGAATCCTCTGGAAATCATCCAGATCCATTAATCTCTGGGGGTGGATAATCATTATAGGTCTCCCACCATCACAGGGAGAAATACCACCATTAACCTAAATCTCAGCAGGCAGTGATCTGACCATGATGGAAGAACCATATCAGAGTTCTCCACCTTCAGATTTTATCCTCAGGGCCAGTTGAAAAAAACACCCCGGAATGGGCTCTGTTACCATTAGGATCTGGGCAGCTCCAGGGCTCTATCTGCTGACTTAGCAGCAGAATAACAACCCTGGTAGTTGCAGGATTAGTCCCAAGCTCTGCTGCAGCTGCCATGTCCTTGATGAGCACCACCTGAAAGCTTTGGGTTCTAGCTATATAACAGCATGCTCTTCCTTCCAGAAGCTGTCTTAGTTAATGTAGATTGTTTTAGTGTTGTGCCTTGACATACTTTTGTGGTCTTGTTGTTCCTGGACCCTGTTTGGTTATCCTGTACCAAGGCAATTAGAAATGTAGAAACATCTGGAGACCTGAGGGCAATTAGACAGGGCAACCACCAGACTTGCTGACTCAGTGAGGACCAGAACATGATAAAGCTGTGTTCCCCTTACCTGGCTAGCCCTTCTCCCAGTGCCACCTCTAACCAGTGCTACACCTTACAGATCCCCTTCACATTGTCCCAAGTCTTCCCTTCAGTGCACATGTTCAAGACCTAGGAATTTAGATTTAATATTAATAATCAGGTCTAAATTACTGTTTTATTATCTCTGATCTGTGGTAACTCAAATGCAATGGTGACTTGGTACACGTGGAAGAACATATGCTCATTATGACAGTTTTCATAGCCATACCCACAAGTAATGTCCAAAAAAAAAAAAAAGGATGCTGCTATGTTGTTTCATATCAATAATCCAGCTGTAGTCATTTTTATCTCGACCAGGAGCAGGTCTTTTGTAAAGCTAACAAATTTTAATCAACCCTCCAAAATACCTTGCATTACAACAGGTACGGATCACATTCCCTGCCTTCTGACCACCATTTTGTATCTAGTTCCAGTTGATGGACTTTGAGGTGCTAGTAAAACACAATATAGTTCTATAAGCCCAAAACTGCCCTCCCTTGACTGCCCTTAAGGAAAATACATTTTTCCCACTGAAAATTGGATACATGTATGTAAATTAATTGTGCATCTCTAAACAAGCAAGTTCAGACCCCAACAATTTCTTTAGCATCATCTAGTGAGATTTTAATTTTTAATGGCCATTCTTCATATTCCTAGAAATGAAGTCTGCTGAAGATCACATTTGAAAACACAACAATTACTATAGCTATGCACTGGGACCATAACTGCAAGAGAAGAAAAATGGGCATTTATAATTAGTCACACTCTGATTTATTTATTCCTACAGTACATGGATGGGTCAGGAAGTCAGCCTTTAGTAGCAGTGACAAAATGAGTCCACTGTGGCATGGTTATTGTCAGTGGAGTTCTTTCTACAAACCATATCAAATACAGGAGGAGGAAAAAAAACTATTTTAAGATAAATCAACATGTTTCCAGATTTTCAGGACATCTGTCACCAGGCACTAGAGTGTATGGTAGCTAATCCTGCAGCAGATTTTCTTTTAACCATTACTTGTCAGGAAGGTCTGTCAATAGATATGTTGCCCCTCTTTATCATACCTGTGCCGGTCAATGCTTTTCTTAACTTATGAACTATATTCTGTTTAGAAGGAAGTACTGATGTCATTTCAGTGGGACAGCATTAAGCAAGCTAAGAAATCCTATTCCACAGGGGTAGAATTGGAATTAGTGCTTCAGCACAGAGCTACTAGTCCTGATGGCTTGATGCCATCCCGTGTCAGAGGGAGTGTGCCTGTTTATGCCCATTGTTTGGGAACCTGAGTGGAAAAGTGCTTTTGCATTCCTGTCCTGCTTGTGAGTTTTCCACAGGCAGCTGTTGGTCATTGTGTGAACAGAATATTGCTCTTTTTCTTTTTCTTACAGTAAACCCAAACTTTCAGGAAGTGAAGTCTACTGGTGTGGAAGACAGAGTTTTGAACACAGATGAGTCCCTGCCCAGTCCTGAGGCAAAATGGATGACATTGGGCAAATCAGTATAATCCACTTCAGTGTGCTGTTGTGAGTATAAAATGGGATAATGCACTATATTTGTACTAACCCCTTTAAAAATTGACAAAAATTGACAAAGGCAACATACCTGGGTGTGTAGTTATCTTTCATCCCATGGTTTATGTCTGCTGCTGAGTGCAAGTATATGCCTTTCTCCACCAATATTTGTGTGTGTCACTGGCAGCCAGACCTGTCTACTGTCAAGCTTGAAACAACAGCTTAGTACAGTATTTATTTAAAATATTTCTACCCCGTCCTACACAAAAATCGTCCCAGGACAGCTTTCATCCCAGTATTGCTACACTGCTGCTCCTTTCCCCAAGTCTCTAATCAGTATAGCTGTGTTTACACAAGGGCTCTCTCACACACACCTTTGCATTGTTACAACCCAAAAGAATTGCAGAGCCCAGGCAGCACCAGCCATTTAGATCTTCCGGGTTGGCTGAGTTGCAAAGCTATTTATCTTTGACTCAAGTAACCAAGGTACTTCTGATCTCATGGCTTTGTCTTTACTAAATGAGTATATATACTGTATTATATCTGAAGACAAGAATAATAGATAAAGGTAACTGGAACTGGATCTTCTCATTGTGCTTTCTTCATATCCAAAGGAACAAGGGTTTTTTTTAAACTGCAGCACAACGTGAAATCTGTAAGCTGCTAACAGCAATCATAGAATCTTGTGTATAGGGAACTTATTTCTTTTGATCAACATTACGTTCTTCCTCTCAAATATCTTGGCCCCTCATGAGGTCAGGAAGTGTTTGGCTAGAGATTTTCCCTCTTGCTGTTTTATCTTTCCATTCTGTCTTTCTGTCAAAGACTGAAAGCAGTCGAGTAAAATTGAAACAGGCGCTTGCTTGACACGGAGAACTTTCATGTACCTCCCCTGATATAGATGATCAGCAAGCAGCAGAAGCAACCAAACATCTGCTTCTGTGGCCAGTTTTCCCAACTACTCGGCAAGAAGCCATAAATAAGGTATGTCATATGCCAAAGAAGAGAGAGCAACAATGTGACAAGGGTAACAGTGGATTCCATGTGCAGTAAAACTCCAGTGCTTGTTTCTCTAGTCTGTTCAGTCTAAGTAGTGTATGATTACTAAAGGTAGAACTAGATGAGAGAGAGCAGTTGCCACTCCTTTCTCATCAGATACGTCTAGTTTAACATATTACATGATGTTACTTATATTGGCTGACAGTGGCAGAACAGCCAGGATGCATAATATGGGGAAAGGATGTTGCTGCATACACAGTGACTGCAAGGAAGCAGGCGAGGAAAAAACACAGAGCAGCACTTTGGCATGTCTTTAAATTTAGCCATATAGGCATTATTCCTTATTTTTAATATCTTGAATTCCTTACGCATTTCTCACAGTTCCTTTAAAATTTGTATGCATTGCACTTAATCTTTGCTTTGTCCATGCACAATCTAAAGTAATCTGAATTCCTCAGCAACTAAAAATTGTATAAATCATGCACAATTTGCATTACTTCTTTTTTATAATTTAAAGTGCAATCCTATGCATGATTGGACAGAAAGCCCTGCTGCTCCCAGCATGGCTGACTGGAGAATGGCAGGATTTCTAGGACTTCTTTTATGTCTGTACATAAGATAACATCATTAGTCTATTTCAGCTAATCATGGTATAAGGTAGAGACCCTCTGGCCTCTGAAATTTTACTAAGGCACTTCTAAGATTTCACCAAGCATTCTCTGCACATTTTCAGTCCACCAGGATTGATCCACTTTACTGCTGAGATTCTTCGGAAACAGTTCTGTGGCCAGCTTCACACTCTGGCTTTTTATGCAAACAGATATACATGGGTATTCTGTCAGCTGTACCTGACAGAATACCTCTCACATTACAAATTACCAATGCACTATAATCAATATCTGAGAACTTCTTAGTGTCACCTCCAAGGCAGGCTTGGAGGACACCAACAAAAGGGGGGGGGGGGTTCCTCAGTGATGGCCCCTGTTTGCAAAATGATCTTCCAACTGAGCCTCGCCTGACACTGACTTTGTCACCCTTTCAGCACCAGGTTAAGACATGAGCCCCTCGTGCTCAGGTATTCAAACATAACTAAAGTTCCTTGATGGCTTGATGTGCTATCTGTGCCTGTTTTTAACAGTCTGTTGTATATTGAATTGTGGTTTTAGCTGCTAAACTGTTTTAAAAATTTAAAACATTTAAAATTCTGTATTATGGAAAAATGTGTGCCTGTTTTTATTGTAGGGCTCTCAGGATTCCTTTTAAGAAGTTATTACTCCTTATGTGGAAAACTGCTGTTATTATCAGAATCTCCTATGGGTTTGAAGGGGCTGAGAATACCGCTTTAAACCCTGAAGTGGGAGAGTTGTTTGGTTATATTGTTGATTGTGTATATATCTCAGTGCCTGTGGACAATATGGTGCATTAAAATGTGTGAATAAACACTATTAAACTTTGAGCAGTGGAAAATTACCCAAACAAGAGCTCTAGTCCTTTTGTTTGTTAACAGAGCAGAATTTGTATCAGCTTCTTTTCAGAAGAACTTTCTGAGAGAGGATCAGGTAAGGACACCATTGGTTAATTTCCCAGGGAATCAGTGGCAGGGCACAAATCTGACCTGTGGATGGTTCCCAGTTCAATCCCTATTTTCTCCAATTATGAAAAATTCCAAGCAGAAAAGCTGCGAAACATGTTTTGAAAATGTAGAGAGCATATCATTTGGAGTAGGCAATACATGGCAGTAGACTGACTTCATGCAGAGCAGATTTGTATGGACTTTTCTCTGCTCAGTCTGCCATCAATGAAATATGTGATGCATTTTCCTCCACTGTAACAAATCAGTTATCCCAGTTAATGGATCACTGTTTTCATATCTGTTCCAGAAGCATCAACAGATCTTAAGTTACATCGTATGCTCTCTGGATATTATCTGGGGCCCTGGGATTATTCAGAGTTCCTCTGACCATGGACCTGGGATTCCAAATTCTAGCCTCCCATACTGTCTCACTTGCAGCTAGCATGTAAAGAACTACGCTGGGTGCTTTTCCAAAGTTAGAAATTGGCCTCAGAGAAGGTTATAAGGAGCACTGGGGTGGTGGAAGAGGCTGGGGTTGATGATCTATACCATATCCAAATGGTGCTATAGCCTCCTTCCCTCTCTTTCATGGTAATTGATGTAGACAGTTGAAAATGGCTGTCTAGATGAAATGTGAGGAGTAGGAGAATGGAAATAGCCACTGTTGCACCTTGTATTGGATGCACAGAGTCCTCTGTGTTTGGAGGATTATACGCATGAAATGTAGGGGACACTGGATCACACCCTATTTCAGGTAATTGTTGGAGGTGTAATATTCCTAATCTCCTATTATCCATACATTTTGGCAAACAGTTGCGCCTCTTTGGGAGGAGGTCATAATATGGATAAACAACATATTGGAAAGTTTTAAATATTTGATGATGCACATGTTCATTTAAATTATTTAGCTATTGCTTGGAAGTGAATGGATTTTCTGCACTCTTTTGACAGCTAAGAACTAGACACTGCAACATTGGAGGGATAAATTTCTGCCTCCTAAAACAGAATGGACTGAGGACCAAGTAACTTTTCCAACATTTGAGTGGATGGTATTTAGATGCCACCTGTAAATGGATGGATATACAAATGTTTGATGTGCCTTTCTGGAAGCACAAATGATGCACATCTGCTTTATTGAAAGCTGTATTTTCATACACACATGTGCAGACAGGCACACTCTTTATATGCACCTATTATAGAAATGTTAAAAATAATAAGTGATTTATTCAAATTTATATAAGAAAATTGTATTTTTTCTTTTATGGTTTTGTTCAATTCACACCTGTGGCAAGGTGTGCAAGAAATGTCCAGATCAGCATACCACTCAATTAATCTCTCTATTAAGGTTCTCTTTTGAGGACAAATTCAGGTAAGATAGTGAGAAACTGGATTCATAAGAGCTACAAGGGTAGCAGGAGTTCCAAACCATAGAAGGAAAGGCTTAAGGGCCCACAGAAGCTAAGAAAGATGATGATGAAAGCAGTATGTTTGAAAGAATGGCAGAATGAAGACAGTGATTAGTTGTTAAAGAAATATCCTCCTTTGAACTGTTCAAGGGTTAGAGAAGCCTTTAACTCTCCATAGGGTATTGTTTGAAATAGTGATCTGTAAGCGTCATCCCAATTTAGTTTCTAGGAGTCTTCATAATCATAGTGTAATTATATAACAGCATAAGAATATTTTCCAGCAACTATGTTTTTCAAAGAAATCAATTAGATTGGGTACCTATAAGCTGCCTCTTTCTCAGTCCACTCAGCAGCTCCCCACTGCTTTCTCATCTATACAATTTGATTTTCTCATATCGGCAGTTTAGTATAGTATGAAATTGGGTTACATGGCTTGCTTTTACAAAATGAAAACTAGATTAGTACGAAATCTACATTCTGTTTCTGGTTCGTTCTCCACTCCTGTTCTGCAGAGCTTTATTACTAGAGGGAGAAATGGAAGAGTTGCAAGCAAATCTTCCTTGATATGTAGTAGCTAGTTCTTAGAAGCTGCCAAAGCACCCGAAAGAAATGAATTGATATCACTATAATCACAAATCAATGATTGGTAATATCATGTTCAGTACAGCAGTCAGCAACATTTCTAATTGAAATTAAGGGTCTAAGTAGATGAGGTCATGCTAACCAATAACAAGAGTTTCTATTTCTTTTTCTGTTTTTGTAAAACAGTTGCATGGAATATAAATTCAGTCCTACAGGTCTGATTAGAATCAATTGCCCTCCCCTAAGGTTGCTTTTTATTTTCAAAAGCAAGCAAACTAAAGAGCATAATCCAAACATATCAGCTAGTTTAACCTTAATACATTTAAATATGTCTAGGCTGACCACGAAATCCAGTGAAATCAACACCTCTACATTCAATGAATGTGTGGAGTTCTCAGTCATGCATGCTAAACCCAATCCCCTTCCATTACCATGTACTGACTCCCCTGATGAACATTGATGAGAAGAAGCTTGTCACACACAGCTGCATGTCTGGAGAGTTTCTGCACTCACAGAAGGACGCTTATTGGACAGTCCCTCCAATCCCTCCCAAATGCAAGAGCTCTCAAATGCATACATGTCTATGCATGGAGAACACTGTCTTACAAATATCCACTGACTATTCTACTAACGTTTAAAACCCTAAATGGCTTCAGGTTATCTGAAGGATTGCCTCCTCCCATATGTACCTACCCTGGCTGTGAACTCATCTTTGGGGGTCCTTCACTGGGAACCCCTTCCAAGGGAAATATGGTGTGTGGTTTCCAGGAGGACCACCTTTTTGGTTGTGGCATCCTGGTTTTGGAATGAGCTCCTCAAAGATGTGCGCCAGGTGCCTACTTTGTAATCATTTTGGTGCCAGGTCAAGACCTTATCATTTTTCCAGCATATTAACAGTTTAACTTCATTTTTATATATTTTGTTTTTTCCCCCTGTAATGCTACTGTACGTCTATGCCAGGGGTTGGCAACCCGCGGCTCAGGAGCCACACATGGCTCTTGAATCCCTCTGCTGTGGCTCCGTCGCTCAAAATCTGCAACACAGACTGGCACGACCACCAATCTGCGACCCACCCTGATTTACTGAGCTTTTCCCCCCGGGGAAGTTGTTCTCCTATTCAAAATATATAAAAGGTGTCCTACTAGATTATAATGTAAGATTAAAAGTAACAGTTTTTAGTGACTGAACAAGAGCTGCAGCTAAATCATAATGAAGATATAGATCTGCTTCCTTGTTTTAAGAAGATTCTTATAACAATTCCAGCAACATTATTACATTGGGAGAGGGATATTTGTTCAATATTTCACCAGACTATTATTTATATTTGTTGTATTGCAGAAACTCTACTTACTGTATGAAAGTATCAGTTAGTCAGTTGACAGCTGGCTGCACCCTCCAGTACACATGATAAAAGGATGAAGGCTCACAGAAGCAGACGGCATTTTTAGTTTGCTGAAGGTGAATAATTTAAGTCCGGCT